CATGTAGCAAGTGATTTTGCATCAAGCACGCCCTATTAGGGGCACTGCCCCGCCCCGCGCCCCCCAAATACACCATGAGTGGGTATGGCAAAAAAAAACAACAAAAATCTCTTTTGTTAATAATTTGATCTTCGACATTGTTGATACTATCCACATTTCAATTTGATTCCTATTTCACCACCATAATTGGACTAGTAATTGTCAAGTTTTCTTTTCGGTTCAAATTAACTTCCTCATCATCCAATTGAAATCCTATATAGGACACCACTATTAGAGTGCATGTGAGGAGGAAGGTATAGCAGCCCCAACATGTATTGTTGTTAGTAGCCTTATGTTAACATTATACAAAAGTCTATAATTACTCATTTGGATAGTAGGATTAGGATTGTAACACTACGTGTATATGTTCTTCTTTGTGAGATGAATAACACACAAAAATATTAAACCAAATAGTATTCTTCTTCTTGGTATAAGAGTCAGGTTTATAAAAGGAAAACCCTTAAGTGAATCCTTTGAGCCGCCGTTGCACGAACCCAACGTTGTAGCATCTCGCATCGTCGACCTGACGAAGCCACTGCAGCTACCGAATCCCGTAGCGTTGGCCCAAAGAAGTCACCACCGAACCAAATCCCACAGCACAAACGTATTGTCCATCTGACTTGCCTCCTTGGCGTTGAACCCATCAACTCTGCATCACCTTTCATCTTCATTATTCTTGAAAATCTTAGTTTCTTGAGATGGCCCAGGACGACGAATGTGCTACTGCTTCTAATACCGCTTTCGTCATTGTCTAATCTAACAACACGGTGTTGGATGCTGGAATTACCCTCACCAAGAAGAACTATGATATGTGGCCTCAACTCTTGGAAATGCATATCCACTTAATTATCGTCAATATATCAACATTTTTGTCGATATTGTCGCGATAATGTCGGAGGCGATAATTTTCTACACGCTCATGCATTATTTGGGCAACATATTGCGATATTATCGATATTAAACCGAAAAATAAATGAAAAATGTTGAGAAATTCGCTCTTGCACTTGCACATAGGGGTAGGCATCGGGACTGGAAAACCGGAATACCGAACCGAACCAAATGAAAAAAATTGGTTGACTAAAAAAGTCAACAAATCGGTACCGAACCAAATTGGATTGATTCCAATCGATTCCAATTTCAGTTTCACACCGCACCAAACCGGATCAGACTAAACCGAACATGTTGTGTATAATTTTTTTTTACAAAATTATTTAAATCCTACGGTACATTTTTAATCTTATAACTAATATTTTTCCAAGTCCAACTTCAAAACATCTCTCTTTGTATGAAATTGGATTATTTGTTAATTTCTAAGCCCAAAAAATAAAATTTTAGTTGGAATTTGTATTAATTTTTTAAAAATATTTTAAAAAATAATAATAATAATCCGGTTCAAAACTAGAAAAACCGAAAACCGGATTGACTGGTTAAAAAAAAAATTTCACTAGAGCTGGACCAGTTAAGTAGTACCGATTCCAATTCACCGAGGATTAGAAAATGAGGCGGGCTGACTTTCAGGCTAGTGTTCCCAATCGAAAAATTTATCTTCGAATTCTGACAATCTACTCTAATCGAAAAAGTTATAATTATAGGAGTACTTTACAATGGTTACAATGGGAATGAACAACTCTTAAAGGGGGACCAAAATAGCCATTGGCATCTTATGGATGACGATTGTTGAATAAATAAAAATTGATAGATGCATTATTTGTGTATTTTGGCTAAGTAGGCTGTATGAAAATGATTTGGAATTTCTTTGGTTGCCAATCACACGTCCTAGATTGGCCAACACGCCCTAGATTGGTCGGCACATAAAAGATGTCGGTATGATTTTGTTGCCCTAGATTTGGTTGCCAATTCATTCTAGCTTGGTTTGATTAATTTCTAATTGATTAGGAATATATAACATTTATCTTAAGCGTGATGAGTCTTTGATGGAAGACCTTACAGTTGGACAAATATGGAATAGGCATGATGGGCATAGTTGCATGTAATTTACGTGTCACTTGTTGAGTATGAGGTAATTTGACTATGTATGGACTGACCTACATGATTGAGTACTTGTAGTTTTATTGGACTAAGGGCATTTAAGGTTTCCTTTTAAGCATTTTGTTACCCTTACTTATTTTATATCCATAGGTTCCAACAAGTTGTTTAATTTTCTAGCACCTATATAGTTTCCTCATCCAATCGTATGTTTAGATTATTTTTTTTTTTTCTCGCTCTAATTGTCTTTTTCGTTAATTCCGAGCCTAGTACCTTGGGCTTGTAACTAAGTAGGGCATTAAAGTGATTGCTATGTGATGGAGTTTAAGCTAGATGACAAGGGCGGAAGTACCTTAATGACTACGGTGGGCTATAGCCTAGGAAGAGTTTTGGAGATTAAAAAAATCAAACCTATATATTTTACTTGTTTTAAACATAGCCCAATATGTATTAACCTATTACTAGTCCAGAAAAGTCCAATTCTTTATGAGTTTAGTTGCAAGACATCAATTAAAAATACACATTAAAATAGGTACACTTTCAATTATGTTGTCGAACATATTTTTCATTTTATAATATGTGTTTTTTTGATTTCATTCATATATATTTGTTTTATGTTAAATCTTATTAGAAATTAGCATTTAGCCATATACTTGAGGTCCTAGGTCCGATTCCGCACTCCACAAATATCGCTTGTATTTAAAATAAAAAAAAAGCATATTGAAAATTAGTCAATGAAATTATGAACTAGCGTGATTTATATGATTTAATGTATATTTTTATTTTTAGAAAAACTATAGAAACGGGAAATAAAATAAAATAATTAGATTTAAGGTAATAACTTTAGCTAGCCCACCTATTAAAAAATTGTTGATTCCACCCTTGCTAGGTAGGCAAGATTGGTCTAGTCAAATCACAGCCATGTAGCAAGTGATTTTGCATCAAGCACGCCCTATTAGGGGCACTGCCCCGCCCCGCGCCCCCCAAATACACCATGAGTGGGTATGGCAAAAAAAAACAACAAAAATCTCTTTTGTTAATAATTTGATCTTCGACATTGTTGATACTATCCACATTTCAATTTGATTCCTATTTCACCACCATAATTGGACTAGTAATTGTCAAGTTTTCTTTTCGGTTCAAATTAACTTCCTCATCATCCAATTGAAATCCTATATAGGACACCACTATTAGAGTGCATGTGAGGAGGAAGGTATAGCAACCCCAACATGTATTGTTGTTAGTAGCCTTATGTCAACATTATACAAAAGTCTATAATTACTCATTTGGATAGTAGGATTAGGATTGTAGCACTACGTGTATATGTTCTTCTTTGTGAGATGAATAACACACAAAAATATTAAACCAAATAGTATTCTTCTTCTTGGTATAAGAGTCAGGTTTATAAAAGGAAAACCCTTAAGTGAATCCTTTGAGCCGCCGTTGCACGAACCCAACGTTGTAGCATCTCGCATCGTCGACCTGACGAAGCCACTGCAGCTACCGAATCCCGTAGCGTTGGCCCAAAGAAGTCACCACCGAACCAAATCCCACAGCACAAACGTATTGTCCATCTGACTTGCCTCCTTGGCGTTGAACTCATCAACTCTGCATCACCTTTCATCTTCATTATTCTTGAAAATCTTAGTTTCTTGAGATGGCCCAGGACGACGAATGTGCTACTGCTTCTAATACCGCTTTCGTCGTTGTTTAATCTAACAACACGGTGTTTGATGCTGGAATTACCCTCACCAAGAAGAACTATGATATGTGGCCTCAACTCTTGGAAATGCATATCCACTTAATTATCGTCAATATATCAACATTTTTGTCGATATTGTCGCGATAATGTCGGAGGCGATAATTTTCTACACACTCATGCATTATTTGGGCAACATATTGCGATATTATCGATATGAAACTGAAAAATAAATGAAAAATGTTGAGAAATTCGCTCTTGCACTTGCAGATAGGGGTAGGCATCGGGACCGGAAAACCGGAATACCGAACCGAACCAAATGAAAAAAATTGGTTGACTAAAAAAGTCAACAAATCGGTACCGAACCAAATTGGATTGATTCCAATCGATTCCAATTTCAATTTCACACCGCACCAAACCGGATCAGACTAAACCGAACATGTTGTGTATAATTTTTTTTTACAAAATTATTTAAATCCTACGGTACATTTTTAATCTTATAACTAATATTTTTCCAAGTCCAACTTCAAAACATCTCTCTTTGTATGAAATTGGATTATTTGTTAATTTCTAAGCCCAAAAAATAAAATTTTAGTTGGAATTTGTATTAATTTTTTAAAAATATTTTAAAAAATAATAATAATAATCCGGTTCAAAACTAGAAAAACCGAAAACCGGATTGACTGGTTAAAAAAAAAATTTCACTAGAGCTGGACCAGTTAAGTAGTACCGATTCCAATTCCGATTGAGGTGAGAATCGGACCGAACTAGACCGTGTCCACCCCTACTTGCACACAGGGGGGTTCGAATCCCTTTCTTTCCCAACCACCTACTGCGCCTTATCCAACCCGTTGTGGATGAGTATGCGCCTTATCCGTGTTTTTGTACCACCGATATTTCCAAAACTCTCGATATTTTAGACTTTGAATATAACTAGAGTCGAGGGTGAGAATCTGATTGGAAAGAAGGTGTGGTACTCAAAGTCGTATCCAAGTGCATAGTTATAAACTATAAGTGAATTGTTTTTGGGTATTTAAAATCATTGTTAAAGTCCAGGAGAAAAACTTATATTAAAAAAAGGTCAAGTAGAAAAACAAGTTGAGATTTTTTTCTTTTTATTAATGGTTACATATCTTGGGGTGAAATATTAATGGAAATTTTTTTTATTTTTATTTTTGTGGAAAATTTTTCATTTGTTTTGGGTGCAAAATTTTCATGATTTTATCAAAAACATCTTTTCATCATCTAACAGTTTAATAGAAAGACATAGGTTTTCTTATAAACTGGTGTAATGTTTAATTAGCAGTGGCCGGTTGGTGACTTTGGGTTTTGACCACCTCCTCTTTCTATTCTCTCTCACACAGAGAAAGAGACAGTGTTTTGTGCCAGAGCCACCACTGACCAGACCTAGAGAGAGAAGGCGAGAGAGAGAGACTGAGACTGAGGCTGAGAGGTTGAAACTGAGAGTGAAAAACCTACAGTCACTCACTGTTGCACTTTGCTGGGTATATATATTTTTTTTTGGCCTTTTTGCATTTCTTCTTCTTCTGCTCTGCCCAGCCTCTTTTCTACTGTAGCTCTCTTGCAACTCTTATACTAAAAATAAAAACAAAAACAAAAGAAAACTCATCTCTCCATTCCTATCACCATCACTGTCATAATCATCTGGGTTTCCTGAACCTATTGGAAAGTAGTGCAATCCAGAATCTCTTCCATCTTCTCATAGATCCAGCTGTAAGCCCAGAATCTCTGTCCCTAACTGGTAAAATTTCTAACTACTCTTGCTGGGTTTGCTTTGAAACTAATTGTAAAATCTCAAATTATGCATTTTATCTAATTTTTGGATGTGGGTTTGTTTTTTGTTTGCAGATTTCCCTCTCATTGTTGTTTTATGATGTTTATGAATATTTTTGATTAATGGGTTTCGGCTTTTTTCTTGATTGGCAGCTTCGTCACCCATAGTTGCTGGACTGGAACTCCAACAGTGATCAGAATTGGGTCTATGGTAATCTATGTTAAACATGAATGTCTATAAAACTGATTCCACAGCTTTGGAGTAGATCAAAACTATAGAAACGGGAAATAAAATAAAATAATTAGATTTAAGGTAATAACTTTAGCTAGCCCACCTATTAAAAAATTGTTGGTTTCCACCCTTGCTAGGTAGGCAAGATTATTGGTCACTAGTTACTACAATCTTGAGCTTCTTATAGATAGCAATAGTCGGAGTTGGGTTGGTTCTTACTCTTGAAAAGGCTTGAAGTTCTTGTCCTGGCTTTTGTATGAAATATACTTTGTGGCTTATCAACACAATGGGTGGGATGTGCTCCAAGTCGAGGAGATCCACTGTAGACGATGTCACTGTAAATAATGCTCCCAGTGGAAGCATTCCTACTGCTAATGGCCATTCAAGTAATGGGTCTCGTGGTCTGCCTCTGAAAGTGAATACGAATTCAACACCGTCTCCAGTTAGTGATGGCATGGTTAGTGATGGCATGGATAAGAAATTGCGAGACCCGTTTATGTTGCCAGAGACAAATAGCATGGTTCCTTATGGGCTGATTACAGATGATGTCAATGATGGGATTCCTCACTTGTCAAGGGCCTTATCGCAGAAAAATAGATCTACCAAATCTAAGCAGGCTGTTGCAAAGGTAATCCTGACTTTGATATGCTAGGTTTTTTCTTCTTGCCTATGTTGTGTTGGAATGAATAATTTGAAATTGTGTGGTACGAATGGTTATTGGATACACATTTTGTTTTCTATAGCACTTGGAATCACAAACCCTTCCATATTGAGTTGTTATGGAGCTTCTACTCTAAAGAGTGTAATAATTAGAGTGAGGATGGTAAGGTGTTGCAAGGATGCCAGTTGATGAGTCCTTACATTTTATGTTGACTTTTAATAGGCCTTACTTAGAATGTACTATTTTGAAACACAGACTAGAAGGTCCCATGTTGGTTGTGGCTTATATCCGTTGGGACCCTTTGACTTGGGATATACAGATAAAAGTTTGCCCATCTATTGCCCCTAGTTCTTTTGGATTGAGGGAGTTCAGTAGACATGGAGATGATGGAAGTGAAATACTTTCAACAGGAAAATTCTTTCTGTATTAGGATACTTAGTGAAGTGGTGGTAAGCAGGAGGGAAAACCTTCCAACATTCTTCTTACTATAGAGGTGAGAAACAGTGGGAAATGAGTTTAGCCTTTTCCTGTTCCATTTTTAAGACAAGAGTGTGATGAATCTCATACTAAAGAGACTAAAAAGATGGTTTATATTTTCCTCAAGTTCATTTAGAAAGAAATTCATACCAAAAGAATATAGGAAGTCATTCGGCCTCCTCTATAAGGATCCAAAAGAACAAAGCATTAAACTTCCATTTAATCTGATTTTGTTTTTTCACTACTTGTTTCCATCTTGCTCTTCCCATCATTCCCCATGTAACATAAAAGATGAAAATGTTGTTTCAATTGAAGGCCCTATTTTTGGGCTTGCTTTCCAGTTATAAAGTGTCATTCCAATTGAAGATCGTATATTTGGTGGTTGCTCTAGATACTTTTCCATGGAGAGCAGAGATTTGTGTGCTTAATAACATCCCCTTGAAGACAATTTTCTAGAAGGTGATTCATAAAGTAAAAATCCCATTCAAAATCAGGGCTAATCTGGGCTTATTCTAGAGTGTTGCCTTTTGTTGAGTAAATAGGTAGAACATGTTATTAGATAGTAGGGAAAGGAGGTTATTTAAGGAAGCTGATTTGAGCTGGGTTATTCTAGCATCTTGTACTGCATGATTAAAGAAGCATATAGGCTCTTGGGAAAGGGATAAAGCCTGAAGTTATATGGAGGTGTTGAGTGAAGGATGCCTTTTTGGGTAGTGTGAATGGCGAGAAGTAGGAGGATTTTTGTCAGTTATAGGGGAAGGGATGGAGTTTGATCATCCTTGTGGGTTTTTGCCTCTTCGGAATCTAAGGAAATCCCAATTTTATTTTTTGTTTGCTTGTTTAAGTTTTTAGTTTTTTGTGATTGGAGAGCTGTTGGACTATTAGGGGAGGGATATGTTATTTGTCTGCTTGGATGATTTATCAATTTTATTAAAATCTTGTTTCTACTGGGAAAAAAAGAAAGAAAGTAGGAAATGAAGAAAACCATGGAAGTGATAAAGAACTATAGTGTCTGGATCAACTCATCAAAGTATTAGTTGAAAATTACGAAAATTCAGTGTTTTAGAAGGCGGGGATGAGGCGAGCCTTGAGGCACACCTTTCTGTGAGGCAGCTTCCACATGCCTTCAGGCTGTAAGCGCAGAGTGTTTCACCCAAAAGGCGTAGCAACCCCAAATCCACACCTTTCTCCCCCATTGATGAGGCAACAGTGAAGCACCACCGGTGAGATCTAAGGCAGAACCATATCTGATCAGAGGGATGAGAGAGACCAGACAACGTTGATGAGATTGATGAGGGTGCGACGACACCCACAAGATCGATGAGGGTGCGATGACGCTGGCAAGAGAGAGAATGAGTGATGATGGAGGCAGAGAAAGATGAGAGGAAGAATAGAGAAAAGAGGGTTAGTGAAACACTGTGTTTCACTTATGGGCTGGTAATTTCACAAGTTCTCTTATGGACCCAGCCCATATACAAAAAACATGACCCAATTTTGCTTTGATTCCAGACATATGTTATATATCAATGCCTATGAGAGTTTTAAAACACTGGTGATATTACATTGTGCATGTAATTGGATGAAACTTACCATTTTATCATGATTGCTTATATTCTAATGGTAATTTTACTGTTTATCTTGTACTTTGTCTTTTATTTCAGTAGGACATGATGATTGGTTTTTAAAATAGATATTGAAGCAATACTGAAGTAAATAATACTCCTTTGTACTTAAATATTGTTAACTGTTTTTTTTTCTTTTGGTTTATAGGTATCAGAAGTGAGCTCGCTTTTGGGTAGGGCTGGTACTGCTGGCCTTGGGAAGGCAGTGGAAGTATTGGACACCCTTGGTAGTAGTATGACAAATTTGAACCCAAGCAGTGGTTTTACCTCAGGGGTGACAACAAAAGGGAATAAAATTTCAATTTTGGCTTTTGAAGTTGCGAACACAGTTGTCAAGGGTTCAAATTTAATGCAATCCCTTTCAAAGGATAATATCAAACATTTGAAAGAGGTTGTGCTTCCATCAGAAGGGGTACAAAATTTAGTATCAATAGATATGGATGAACTCCTGAGAATTGCTGCAGCAGACAAGAGGTTGGTAATTGAATATTACCAACTATAATTTTCTGGTTAATCAGAATGAGCTGTAAATATTGTTATTAATTTTGATGTGGTGTCATTTCTTGAATAATTATATGTGAACATTGAAGAATTAATAATTTTGTGGTACGATTCTTGCAGAGAAGAACTGAAAGTTTTCTCTGGAGAAGTAGTGCGTTTTGGAAATCGTTGTAAAGATCCTCAATGGCACAATTTGGATCGCTATTTTGAGAAGTAACCTTAACAAAATCTTGTTATTTATTTATTTATGTGTGTTCTGTTTAACTCCTTAGATGAGGTTCTCATACTGCCACCCATGCTATCTTTTCCCGAACTTTAGGTTGGGTTCAGAAATTACACCCCAGAGGCAATTGAAGGATGATGCAGAGACAGTGATGCAGCAATTGATGACCTTAGTTCAAAATACAGCTGTAAGTTAATACACGTAAAGAGATTGCAGCCTCTCAGTTGGAGTTGTGTGCATTCTTGACTTACCTTAGCAGTTCATGTAATAGCATGCACCACATTAAAGAGAATATAAGTATATGTTCTTTGTTGTCTCTCCTTTCCGCTGGGGAAGCATTGATTGACATAACAATGTCATTAGATCAATTTACTTTATTTAATTTGTTTTTCATGAGGTTCCGATATAACTCATGTTATGCTATTTCTTGCCAAATCTGATTTATTGAATACAATGATGAGGGGATGAAGCTGAATCAAATGATTTATGGCAATTCGTAGATGCAGAGGCCGTTTCTCTTTGTTTATTTGTTTATGTGAAATTTCTGTAGTGCATGTTTGATTGAATCGGATAATAAAAATTGACAAGTTTCCTTTTTGTATTTGTCAATTGGTAATCTGAGTCAAATTGATTTTGGTTGCTGGCATGTTAAATAGAAAATATTTGGTAAATCTGCCTGAAGTTTTGGTATGAAACTTTCTATTACAGTTAATGACTCGAACTCAAAACGTTGTTGAGCCTCATCATAGTCCTCAATCAGTTGGAGGGGTTTCAAGCTACATGATTAAATTTAGTTCTTCTCCATGCAGAGGATTAGCTCTATTGAATGTCGCAGAAGCATTATGTGACCTTTTAGTAGACATTTTGCATTCACTAACTGAATTCTATCAGCTGAATGGTCGTTTGTTAAATAAATTCCATTAACTCTACTTACCCACCATTGGAGTTCTTAGGTGTCTAATTCCATCGAGGGGGAGGGGGGGTTGGATATGGTGGAGAGGAGCACCCCGCTTATTGCATATTATTCTTTGGAGGGTACTCTAGTTTTGAGTGTAGCAGTACATGATTTTGACTGCTGTATGTGTGTTTGTTGCTTCTTTTTTGATTAATAGATAGACAAGCCTGGGTGGTGCTAAAACATGTTCTAACTGCCAATTACTGGTGGATAGATGCTATTCCTTGGAACTTTACTGAAGGAAGACAAACCTTTTTCATGGTTACAGGAATTATATCATGAGTTACATGCCTTGGACAGATTTGAACAAGATTATCGGCGTAAGCTTCAAGAGGAAGACAACTCAAATGCCACCCAAAGAGGTAGCTTGCATCTTGTATTTCCTTTACAATGTCATATGAAACTTTTATCTGCATATTTTGGTCTGGTAGGTTTAGAGAGTTATTCTATGTTGGATATATCCATTGTTTTTTCTGATGATGACTGGGTTTATTAAAGATTAAATTCCACCCATAATGAAATGAGGTCATGGTGCTGAGTTTTTATTTTGCCATGGTCAGTTTTGGCTGTGGCCATGTCGAATAATGATGCAACATTAATACTAGTTCTGAAATTTGTTCAGTATGTAATGAATTAATTAATTATTACTATTTCCTCCTTAATTCCAGTGGTTAGCCTCGTGTAACAGTGTTTTCCACAAATCCTTGCATAGTTTTCAAATTTTGATTTCTTTCACTTCTATTTTTTGTTTCCCATCAAAATGGTTACAATTATAACTTGGTTTATTGTGCCAATTTCACATATAGGAGACAGCCTTGCTATCTTAAGAGCAGAGTTGAAGAGTCAAAGGAAGCATGTGAGAAGTTTGAAGAAAAAATCACTCTGGTCCAGGATTTTGGAAGAGGTAGCAAGTCAGTATTTCTACTTGTTGTATCTCATCTAGGTGCAGAAGAAATTAAGTTTTCTTCTTAATTGAATCGAATGTAGAACTTAAAAACTGGATGCAATATATTTTATGAGTCACGTAATAAAAATGATAGCTTCCATTTGCAGCTAGAAACTTCTCAATACACCCGCCTTTCAATGAAAATTTAGATCGCAAAAATACTCCTCTTTAAAGTTACTAAGATGGATTGTTATACACGCTTAACCCTAATAAACCACTTAGAAAAAGTTTATTTAGTATGTAAAAATTAGAAAACAAGGTCAGCGATGAGGTACTTCATGTTTTTGAACTTGTTTTTTGGTTTCAAAGAATTATTGTAGGGTGTTTTTTGGAATATTCTAGGGTGTCTTTAAGTTAAAGTCTTATGTTTTTTATATTAGGGTATGGGCTTTTGAACAATAATCTGGGTGCAGCGTGCAAATAATACTTTTATTTTTATTTTTATAGGAAACAAGAACTTCTGTTTTTAAGAAACAAAAACATAAGTACAAGAATAGTGAACACGGAGTCCACATCTAAAAACACAAAAACTGCAACCCCCAATGCCATCCTAGAAAAACAGATGCAACAAAATCATAGAGAAGCCAACAGATTACAAAACAGCTCCTGTGCATATAGAATTCCGCTTTAAGTTCTACAACCAACCTAATATCTCATATTTGCAGGTCATGGAGAAACTTGTCGACGTTGTGCATTTCTTACATTTGGAAATTCATGAAGCATTTGGTAATGCAGGTATGCTGAAAATATAGGATGAAATTTCTGATAATGGCCTTCTAAGAGAGGCCTTCTAGTCCTCCTTGGGAGTAGGGCAGGAAGCTGAGAAAGATATTATGGGCACTTCTTGTCCTTAATTAAAGTTAACACCAAATTGCATATAACTGTGGTAGAAAGTTGACCTTGTTAAGTAAATTAAAAAAAATATTAATGTTTGGACAGTTCTTAGACGCGGGAAACAGATTTATTCTCTGATGCTGTTAACTTGTTGAGATTCTCCAAATAAAAGCAATGCTAATATCTATTGCCTTTATTGGTTAAGCTGCCACATATAATATCATGCCTCTCTTGTAATATTAATTTTGCATAACAATTATGTTGAAGCTGTTCATCATGTTTAATTTTTTACTGAATTTTATGCGATTTTTCTCTCTGTCTGGTCTCACAGATACTGATAAACCTGTGAAAGGTGTTCAGAACAATCACAAAAAGTTGGGCTCTGCTGGTCTTGCATTGCATTATGCAAATATTATCTCTCAAATCGATACTCTTGTGAGTTTATGTTATTTCATTGCTTAAATACATTCCTCCTTTGTGAAAATATTTTTTTCGTTTCCTTATCATTTGCTGTAAATGCATTAGTATGTGATATCATGACTTAACAACTTATTCTGGTTATACTCTGCTACTTTCGTGGAAAAAGGTGCAAATACAACTTTCCACTAGGGTTCTGTTTCAATACCTTTTTAGACTTGAATATATATATATATTTAATGTTTCACGAGTCTGCTCTGGGTGGAGCAACAACTTTGAGCGTGAGAGTGGGTTGTATCCAAGTCCAATTTTCGAGAACATGTTCTTGTGGGACTATGCAACCTCTTATTCTTAAGTCTGAAGATCTGTCTGTGCCTCTGTTCCCGCTTTTCCTTTAAAATTTTTAATGAGTAGTGCTTATGCCTTGTGGGATTGTTTGCTTTAGGCGGTTGCTTCCCCTCCTAAAAACCATCGAATGTGTGCACAAGTTCAATTTCCTTCCTAATAAACGACCTAAATACTTTGAGCAGTGTCATTTGTGAACCTATTCAGAGTCCTCAGTTAATTGTTAAAATCCGAAGAAGAATCTATTTCAAATTTGAACAAGTTGGTGCTTGGAAAATCACTGCTATGTTGACCCAGCAAGTAATCTGCCCATCAAATATCTAGATCCTTTTTTCTTATAAAAAAAGAAAAGGTAAAAAAAACTTTAGATCCTCTTGTAGTTATAAGTTAATAACAACAGCTCACTTTGTTATAGGGTAATGAAATAGTGGCACTGTGAATCTGTGATTCTATTTTTCTAACATGGGACGCTTGAAAAGATGCTTTGTGTCTACTCTTGTTGGACACACCTTTGCATGGATGGAAAGATGATATCTTATGCTTGCATGAATGGAAAGATGTTTGAAAGACAAACCTTTATTTACGCAGAAAAAACATAGAATTATGGGATTCTGCATCTTTTGTCAAGAAGAATATGAATGCTTGTAATTTTTCTCATTCTTTTAAAATATACTGTTCTTTCAAAATTTCCTATAAAAAATGAGATCACTGTATAGTGTTGTGTCTAGATTATTGTAAGTTGATGTGTCTGACTTTCAGTGTCAGTGTTTACATACGACACTTGTGTCATTGTCCACAAATCATAGCCTTTTCTTGATTAAGTAAAGCGTGAAAGTATTACCCTCATTACGGCCTCTGTGTGGTAATAAATGTGAGCTGTGTCTATGAAGTGGAAGGTTCATGTCAAAAGTGGTGGTAAAAGATATTGGATTTTGTCTGTTGGATTCCATGGAAGATAGGATCATCTGACAATGTGCATGATTATATTAAAATTCATGAAGTTAGTTGGCAAGCCCAACTAACATATCTTAGCCTGTTATGGCCTGCCTGAGTTTGACTTATGTCGTGCTCACAATTCACATAGTTTGGGCAGTGCTTGTTTTTTTAGTAATAATAGGGCATCCTTCAACTATACATATCTTAGCTTATTGTGGCCTGCCTGAATTTGACTTATGTCCTGCTCATAATTCACATAATTTGGGCGTGCTTGTCTTTGGGTAATAAATGCATCTTTCTTATTGAAAAAAAGGGTACCTTGACCAGTCAGGTTGATGGATAGGAATTGTAACTCGTGAAAAGTAGTATGCAAGATAAAACTAACAGGCCAAATATGAATATCTGGATAGAAAATAGCATCTACTGGGTGTGAGGAGCAGTTATGACATGCATTCAGGATCTGGATACTAGTTATTTTTTTTATAATATTTTTTTTCTTCCATTTTGGTTTTTCTTTTATTGTATATATAAACGTGCAAATAGCTGGTTATAGTAGTTATCTGGAAATAACTGGGAGTTTCCTATTTTTGTTAAAGCACAATGATCATTCTCCTCTTCAGTTTGAATTTTATGGTTCTGTTTGAGAAATGGGAATTTTGTGCTTTATATCAACTCATGTGGGTCATGGCCTCTGGGTTAACATCTGAATCCAGGTGTCTCGATCAAGTTCTGTGCCTCCAAACACACGGGATAATTTATATCAGGGGCTGCCACCTGGTGTAAAGTCAGCTTTGCGCTCAAAGCTACAGTCATTTCAGGTTAAGGAAGAGGTATCTATAGTTTATTTACTCCATGGATTATTAACAACTTCCCAAAACTTTTATTTTTCCACTTGACACTAAGTTATTATTTGTTTGCCCATCTTTGTACTGATTCATAACTATTCTCGCAGCATACAGTCCCTGAAATCAAAGCTGAAATGGAGAAAACATTGCAGTGGCTAGTACCCATTGCCACTAACACAACCAAGTAAAGCATCAAGCCTTTAGATAAAGCTTTTTTTTTATTTTTTTGGTTCTTTTTATAGTTCTGCGAATCTCTGGTTGAATTAATGAAGAGGAAGAGTACTACTAGTTTTTCTTTTGTCCCTTAAGTGGAGTGATTGACATAGTATTTAAATTTTTTTATTGTTCCCTGTTCTTCAATTATGAGAACATAACTTTTTGTAACCTCTGTTGATTTTCCTTCAATTCTATTTTCTGACTGCTTCTTTTGGCATTGTGATTTATTTAGAGCTCATCATGGCTTTGGTTGGGTTGGAGAATGGGCAAACACTGGGTGAGTTCTGAACTGCAGGTGCCTTTCATTTGCGTATTGCTCCTGAATATTTTCCTAATTTTATTTGTTGTAATTCTTTAGGTCTGAGATGAACCGAAAACCTGCTGGTCAGACCGACTTGCTGAGGATTGAGACACTACACCATGCTGATAAAAGTAAAACTGAGTTTTACATTCTTGAACTGGTGGTGTGGCTTCACCATCTGGTCAGCCAAGTGAGGGTTGGAAACGGTGGAATTAGATCTCCTGTTAAATCCCCTCTTTGCTCTCCAAACCAGAAGGCAATTCAGTTATCGACGAACAAACCCAACTGTCCATCCCCCATATTAACAGTTGAGGACCAAGAAATGCTTCGATATGTAAGTAAGAGAAAACTCACGCCTGGCATTAGTAAGAGCCAGGAATTTGACACTGCAAAGAACAGGTTCAGCAAGTATAATAGGCTGAGTAAGAGTAGTAATCACTCCCCAACAAGTGAACGTAGGAAGGATCCATTTCCCATAAGGAGGCCATCGTCCGTTCCGGTCATTGACTTTGATATAGACCGCATCAAAGCTTTAGATGTCATTGATCGAGTGGACACGATTCGAAGTATTTGAATGTATGGCCGATAAAGATACACAAGCGCAGGGGTCTTGTGGTATGCCTAATAGGCCCATCTGCGGCAATTTTCCTAGTTGGGTGGTCTTGGTTTGTGGCGAGGGTGATGTTATGTTAGCAGGCAGATGCTGGGTGATAAGTCATTGCCATTTTGAATGTCTAAATTTAGGGTGATAAATGTGTTGTTCAAAGTAAATTAAATTTCTGTAGATGGAAAGGATGCTGGGTTATAGCTTTGCTTAGTGTAATATGTACAGAATATTCAATTAATAATCGAAAGTTCATGGTCTCTCTCTCTCTCGGCAGTAAGTTTACAAATTTCCCCAAAATGTATGCCTGTTCCAGTTTTGCTAAAAAGATATCAAATAGGTCCACTTCTTCTCGCTCCACCAGGGCCGTTTTTGGGTTTCTAATTTGGTGCCCATTTTGTCGCAGCCTAAGGGTTGTTTGATAGTCATTTTATCTTCAGTTTTCATTTACTTTTTATAAAAACTGAAATTGAAAACGTGTTTTGTAACCGATTTCAATTTCAGTTTTCAATGAAATCTAGTTTTCAAAATCTCCCTTATTTTTTAAAAGGGCTGATTTTAGTTTGGCACCTTGAATTCTCACCCTTAAGATGTGTTTGTTTATGTACTCTCAATTTTAACAATAAAGTATCTTATGTTTGTAAATTTGTTGCAATGTGGTTTTGCCGTTATAATGGCCGTTAAATAATTTGTTAAGTAATGACGTGGTAAATGTAGGATCTACATGCTTTAAATTTAAATTGATTAAAATATGAATAAAATATTTTTTGTTTGGAAAAAATTGAAGAAAAAGGACACCCAAACCAGCACCTCCATCTCCGATTTCTTTCTCCCTCATCACAAATCATATCCACCATCCATAACCATCACCTTCCCCTCATTGACCTCCAGTGTAATAACCCGATCCTAAATTAATATTTAATTATTAATTTATTCAAGTAAAAGACAATTTTACTCCATGAATATTTTCATGGGTTTAAAAGTTGACTTTTTGTTCGGGAAATAATTTGGGAATTTTAGTAGTACTGTTTCGTAGAGCACGTCTAGATGAGTCCGTAGACATGTAGTGGGCTCAAATCGGAGTTGTAACAAAGAAGTTACGATCAAAAGAAATCCAATGACATAACTGTAAATATTTTGAAATTCATATTTTAAAAGTCAGAATTCTCTCTCTCTCTCTCTCTCTCTCTCTCTCTCTCTCTCTCTCTCTCTCTCTCTCTCTCGTATGCGACAAGAACCCCCTGTTCAGTTGTCGCGGGTTTGAGCCATCGCCGCCATCTCCGGCCGTCGTTGACGCTGGGACTGGTCCCAAAATGACTGGCCCGCCTTCCCCTTCCTACCTTAGCCATTCGCCGCCTCTGCCGTCAGCCCAAGTCACTGGAAAATCAAGAGAAGTTGCTGGTTTTACGTAAATTTTCACGGAGCTTGTTCGGACGATTCCGGCTACCAATTTCTTCGATCTAGGTATGCTTTTTCATCCTCTCAATGTGTTCTAGCTGCTGATTGGGTTGTTTAGGATTGATTTCTGCGTTTGGTAACCTGATTTAGCGATTAAAGTTTGGCCGGTTTTTGGCTCACGATTCCGGCCATTTCTTGCCACATTTTGGGGTTGGTCCAAGAACAAAGTTGCTCCATTCATTGTTATGATAATGTAGGTATAGGTCTTGACCAACGGTTTGGAGATTTTCCGATTGTCGGAATCGCTTTGGACACCCACGTGCGCGTGGGCCATTTTATAGCAGGTCCTTGGGTGTTAAAATGATCCCCATGTTGTCTCGAGCATGACGGTATGCTAGGTTTTGAAATTGGTTATTGTTTGACCGTCAATCGGATACTGCATATTGGGTGTCATCTGGGTTTGATATGTTTGGACTGCTGGATCGACTCCATTTTTATATATGTTGATCTAGGCCTCTTTAGAATTGTGTAGGAATTCACGGATCGTGAATCGGAGTCCTTGGGTGTTAAAATGATCCCCATGTTGTCTCGAGCATGACGGTATGCTAGGTTTTGAAATTGGTTATTGTTTGACCGTCAATTGGATACTGCATATTGGGTGTCATCTGGGTTTGATATGTTTGGACTGCTGGATTGACTCCATTTTTATATATGTTGATCTAGGCCTCTTTAGAATTGTGTAGGAATTCACGGATCGTGAATCGGAGTCCCGGATACTTCGATTCAATGATTCAAAGATTAGGTTAAATGACGACCGTCCGATCGTGCGATTGCTAGCGATCCGACAACTCGATCGAGACCAAACTTGCAGAACATGTTTAGTAGACTTGGTGGAACTTGTAGGAACTTTCAAATTGGAAATTGGAGGTCGTGGACCCCGCGAGCCCGGTTGACCAAGTTTGGGTAGTTTGACTCCTCGATTGACCGTGAGTCTTCCGAGGTAGTTCCACCCTTCGAGAAGTACTAGAACGACCTCATAAACAAGTCTTGAATGTTATGTGAATTATTTTGATTATAGTTGGACTTTGAGATTATATTATAATATTTTATGGTATTCCTGAGTGTTATTTTTGATATTCGAAGGTTATGCATTATTGGAAATGATGGGATTTGTAGGGGTTATTATTTATATATTTATTTATTTATTATTATTATTATTAAAGTATATGACTGAGTGTTATTGGATGATTTAATGTTTATGAGTTACTATGTAATCGCTTTTAATTTCTAAGGATATTATATTGTGTTTAGTTGTGAAGAGTTGGGAACGGTTTGTTAATCGGATTTCGATGTGAATAATAAATTAATTAAATATCTAAGTATATGTCTATACTTAATATATATATATATATATACTCAGTGGTTTGAAAATGATGAATTATGGACACTAGTTCTCAACAGTACGTGGTGTAAAATCAAAGGTAGTTGAGAACTGATTTTGGAAGGTCGAGAAAAGATTTGAAATATGGATTCGTGGAATATGAGAAATTTTATGATAAGTTTCGGAATATGGTTTTCAAACCTACCACAGGAGTAACCCCCCCCC